TATGGGATTCGCGAAAATCATTTGGTGTATACATTCTGTCAAGATAAATTTCCTTTGTGTCGATTTGAAATCGTTGCTTCTTTGCAACTCGATATCTACTCCTACAATGTGTGCGTGTGTATGTGTGTGTGTGTGGAAAATTAAACGAAACTCGTTTATTATATCAGCCTTTGAAATTTATGTACCTGTGCAGAGTGATTAATATTACGTCCTTCATAGCTCGGATAAGCTTCGATAAAAAGTATTGTGATCAACTGGTGCTGCGAAAAATTGCGCAAGATAACAAGTGAATGGAATCCTATTGATTATTGAAAGAAATTACTAAGAAAAATATATTATTTCGCAGTTTTGCTCGATAAAAATATTAAAAACACAGAAAATTGGAGAAATTATAAATTAATAAATTAATCGATAATAAAAATTTGGTGACAATTTGTGGCAATGTTTGACAAAGGTATGTATAAAATTTAAAAAATCGTAGATAGTCGATAGTAATAATTATTAATACAAATTTGTTGATATTTTGTATCAATGTTTAAAAAACATCGGGAAAATAATGAAAGTTATTGATAAAAATTGAAAGTGGTATTTTGTAGTGGTGAAAATTCGAAAATGTGTGTAAAATCGGAGAAATCGTGTGCAGACAAAATGGCGACCAGTGTTGTTTCATGGCGGATGAAATTCTCGGGGTTCTAGCGTTAATAAGAAATTCCTTGCTGAAGCTCTGCGTTCTATCATAATCTGGGGAAATTTGATTGATCAGAGTAATTGGTCCTTCAATTAAGAGAAGACTTTTTAAAAATCATGTACGAAGATAATTCAAAAAAATAATATGGTTGCTGTTACGTAAGAGCTATTAAATTATTGGCTATTGAAATATGGAAAAATTTAGCAGCTTGCAATTTAGATATTATTAGTATCATATTGCGAATTATTATATTAATCCAACAATAATTTATTTTATTTAGTAACAAATTTACTGTATTCTTTAAAGAATAGATTTAAATATAAGAGCTATCGAATTATTGACTATCGAGATATTCCACGAAATTTAGCAATTTGTAATTTAAATCTTGCATAGCATCATATTGCGAATTGTAATATATTAATTCAACAGTAATTTATCTTATTTAATAACAACCTTTAAATATTATACCGCGATTGTATAATATAGTACAGTAATTATGTAGCTTTATATAGGAATTACATTGCAAATGTATAGTGTTAATGATTACGTAGCTTACTATGAATTATACAGTATTATACATATAGCATTTACATAGCAGTTACCAAATATTGAACACTCGCTATACTGATACTATTTTATACTATCTCACAATAATTCATAAACCTATATTATTTGTACAAAAAAAAATAAAATTGTGATTCCTATTTTTAAATCATTTCTTAATCATACTGATATTCATATTCGCTATATTCATACTATTTTATACTATCTCACAATAATTCATAAACCTATATTATTTCTAAAAAAAAAAGAAAATTGTGATTCCTATTTTTAAATCATTTCTTAATCATATTCATATTCATATTCACTATATTCATACTATTTTATACTATCGCACAATAATTCATAAACCTATATTATTTCTAAAAATAAAATAAAATTGTGATTCCCATTTTTAAATCATTTCATAATCATATTCATATTCACTATATTCATACTATTTGATACTATCACACAGTAATTCATAAATCTATATTATTTCTAAAAATAAAATAAAATTGTGATTCCCATTTTTAAATCATTTCTTAATCATATTCATATTCACTATATTCACTATTGACTATCTATATCATCTATAATTCACTATCTACATTATTTCTAAAAACAAAATAAAATTGTGATCCCCATTTTTAAATAATTTCTTAATCCTTTCTTCACCGTTTCATTTCTCATAAAAGCTTTTCATCGTGAATTATTACATAGTTAATTTATTCCTGATCCAAAAAAAAGAAAGCTCGTGATTCTCATTTTTGAACCATTTCTTAATTGTTTCTTCATCGTTTTCATTTGGCACGGAAGTGATCGTAAACTATCGTGTAATTAATTTTTTCTTCATCCAGGGAAAAGTACAAGACGTTACCCCCATAACGCGCCATTTATCACTGACGTGCACCCTCGCACAGCTTCTTTGTCGTCTCTTTTTACACCGGTTCTTGCCAATTTTCCCTCACACACGCCGGCCAGACACATTTGGAACCGAGCACTTTGTCCTCATTTCGCGCAACTTTTTACGATCGTTCTAATTCCTTCGCAACCCTCCCCCTCCTCTTTCAACCCCCGAATAACTTTCCCAAGGATAACCAAAATTGACTGGATGAAATACGAACACGATTCATTACACACGCGATTATTATATCCAAAAACGAACAAAACCTCGAAACCCCTCGAAGTCCAACCAAAATTTTCGAATTTTGAGAATTCGAGACTGTGCACGATACCTTCTCGTGGCTAGAAATTTTCCAAATTTTCCAAATTTTCCGTAAAATTTGGAATTAGAAATTTTTAAAGACAAGATACAATATTGATGACTCAAAAGAAATATATAAATATTTTAATACACTACGATCAACAGTATTTTTTGAAATATGATGAATTTTGAGTATATGTCTATAGTCGAAGCTTCGTCAAAAATTCGAGGATTTTTCCGTGTGCAGGGCAAAGTGAAAATACTTGGTATAAGGGGTGTTAAAACAGTCGTACCCTTAATTAGACAAGCTGCCACAAAAGGGGTAATTTTTTATTCACGGGACCAAGAAAACGCTCACCTGTTGCTTGGCAGATGGCGACTGAATGTTAAGCCCGATCTTAAAGCATTAATTAAGACATCTCTTAGTCTCGTTATTCGACAGATTTTCACTGAAATTAATTCAAATAGAACAACCTTGTATACTCCACTTCGATTTGAATTTTCCTTTCACAAGGGAAAAAATCACGACTAATTGCAATAATTAGTCGAACGACGGAAAAATGACATCGTTAGCGGATAATCATGTGAAAGCTCTGGTAATCGTAGAAAAAATATCTGTGAAAATGCGCTGGAAAATACGTAGCACGAGGAGAGATTTCGAATTTTTCCTATGCGTTCGCCTGGCTTTGCTTAAAGTAATTACAGGACCATACCGTGTGGCAATTATTGAAATTGGAGGTCGTCGAATATCTCAAAAGCATGGTCGTTCGCGGAGGACGCGTCTGCATTAACCAAATTGGAGAGGTGTCCTTTAAAGCGTGGCGAAAGCATAGTGTAAGACAGCTTCAATATTTCAGCTTTGGTGTTCCGCTGAAACATCGTCGCGTTAACCAAAGAACATCCCTTTTGCACCATAGTGCTCGATTTATTAAGAGTCGATCCTGATTGTATGGAACACTGTGAAAGTATCCTGCGAAATCCAATTACCTTCGAGTTTTCCACGGAAAAGTGTAGATTTTAACAGAAAAAAAGAGATTCTGGGGGAAAATCGAATACACGTGTGACGAAAAATAAATGTAATAATCAACTCGTATTAATTTCCTTTTCATTATTTTTTTTTTACTTGTTTTTTTATTTTCCTGATTTTATTTTTCATTCAGTACCTTGAAGCAAATTTTTGTCAAATTTTTGAGCAGTGGAAAAATGTTTTATATAATTTCGTATTATTATTAGCTTCGAATTGTTTCCAAAATTTGTTTAAAAAATTTAATTTTGGTTGTGATAATTATTATTGTTCGCGTTGCTCGATTTTCATAGCACTTGCATGATTTCTGGCTTCTAGCATCCCTCAAAAATTACAAAATTGGATTTTAGGATTCTAAAAACTGTATAGTGGATTACCAATTTTAAACTATAGTCCGTCGAAGCACCTAATTGTCGATGAAACTGCAGTACTTAAACTTGAATCATAAGCAGTCACTGTATTTCAATCTTCATTCGCATCTTCAAAGACTCAATCTTCCCTTCAAACTTGTACAAATATCGATCTCTAATTTTCCAAAATTACACCCCACTAATTCCAATCTAAAATTCATCAAACTACCCAAAACAATTTTCCGTATTAATTAAAAATTATCAGTACCGACCACAATTAAACAACGTCAATCATAGACAAATGATCATCAAACTAGCTCAAACATCATTTACAGAAACTGTATCTAATATTCTCTACTCGTAAACACTATTATATTCATACTTCAAGCTACAGCAATCTCGACTCACGAAGAACCCCATATCAAACCACGTCAAACCCCGTGAAACAATCTCAAACATCTTCACTGGAATCTAAAAATTCTTCCACAAACCTCACCCTAACCATTGTATACCTTCTCACCCCTATTATATTCATACTCCAAATAAAATCCTCAAACCCCAAAATCATCCCCTATCAATCTCGACCCAAGAATCCCATACAAAACCACGTCAAACCACGTGAGACTATCTCAAACATGTTCACTGGAATTTGCAAATTCTTTCACAATTCTTCGAGCAAAGACCTCGGACCCCAAAATCATCCCCTATCAATCTCGACCTAAGAGTCTCATACGAAACCACGTCAAACCACGTGAGACTATCTCAAACATGTTCACTGGAATTTGCAAATTCTTTCACAATTCTTCGAGCAAAGACCTCGGACCCCAAAATCATCCCCTATCAATCTCGACCTAAGAGTCTCATACGAAACCACGTCAAACCACGTGAGACTATCTCAAACATGTTCACTGGAATTTGCAAATTCTTTCACAATTCTTCGAGCAAAGACCTCGGACCCCAAAATCATCCCCTATCAATCTCGACCTAAGAGTCTCATACGAAACCACGTCAAACTATGTCAAACCACGTGAGACTATCTCAAACATTTTCACTGGAATTTATTAATTCTTTCGCGATCTCTATCCTCTACCACCGTATACTTATCCACGCGATGTAAAATAGCTTCGCGAATTGCCATAACGACTGAAAACGCGAGTGGTTGCGGCGACATCGGAGAGACAGTGAGCTCACCTGTTGCTTGGACGTGTAGCTGCTCCCCTGGGACGCGAGATCGTTCCTCCGTTTCCGTTTCACGTGGCTCACGGTCGCTGGCTGAAGGTGGTCGAGGCTTGGTCGATGCCGGGCGCCGCGAGTTTGCTGTCTACGCGGGATATGGCGATCAGGGCATCGCGACGCCACCCTTTATACGCGTGTAAGCCGCCTGTGTGCCGTGGGCCGCGCGTGTCCACCGCCGCCCCTCTCTCTGCACCCTCTTTCTCTCTTCTGCACCCTGCACAGGGTTATGGTCGTCGTATGGCCGTCTCTATCGCGCAAGCCGCGTGCGCATACGCGCGCCATCCCGATCGGCATTCAATTCTCTTCCTCGCCAGCCGTCTTCCAAGTCGGTGCGAGGAAACAGCGCGAGAACTGCTGGGGACAGATTGCTTTCTCGTTTCAATTTTTCCTTCTCCATTTCGGCTCTTATGGTCTTCGCGTGTCGGGGTGAGATTCGTTAAAGGAAGTTGTGAGATTGTGAGCTGTGAGATTTGTGAGTCGATTCGCAGATAAGGGGGCTGGTTGCGGATCTCTTAGGGTGGATTGAAGCTGCTGGCTTCTTGGGATAGTGATTGTTATAGTACTTTGGATTTTTATTCTTTTTTCTGGTTGGGAAATTTGTGAGGTGGGTTTGGGCTCTGACGATAGTGATTGTCATGATTTTCTCACGTTTAATGAGGAATTTGTGAGTCCGAGATTGAGGCAGGGTAGGGAGTGAGGATTAGGTGGAGGGTGATTAAGTCTCCCACTCGATGGACAGTGATTGTCCCATAATTTTCTATAAGAATTTACTGAAGTACTTGGTGATATTAAAATTAAAATTTAGAAGCTCATGATAATATTGTTGCACAGTCTGTGAATTAATTTTGACTTCTTTTAAAGTGATTGCACTACATTTCTAAGAGAGCAATGAATTAGAAACATTTGAAAGCGCAGAAAATTTATATTTGTACAAAATTAAGTGCATTTAAAATTGTTAAAAATTTACTGTTTTAATGATAATTATGTTAGAAGCTACACGTATTACGTATCAAGTAAATCATTAATTAACAAACGCAATTATGCATTTTGTGGATTCTATCGTCTAAGAAAATAGGAAAAATAATTCTCCATAATTATAGTTTCATCTCCATTAAATTTAGAAATCATTCCTATCGATAGTTCAGTGTTTAATCAATTTAAAAAATTAATTATAGAGAACATTTATTATTAACTATCTAATATTTTCTAAAACTGTATTAACATAACCATCATGATAACAGATGATAGTTGATATAAAGGAACTTATATATGATAGCTGTCTAAATTACTCACCAAAATAGACCTTTCCTAAAATATTTTCCTTCCATAAAATATTTAACATGGTCTGCTTCATAATCAGAGATCCAAATAATTGGCAATAACATGGAAGATCTTTCTCAAAGATTCATAAAGAACTGCACACATATAGGTACGTCTGACGAGAAAGATTGTAGCTCCTGTACTCCCAAAATTGGTATAGAATCCATCATTCAGAAGCGACTGAAACAGTAATGAAAATGAAAAACTAGATTAGTCTATCCCAATTTGTATCTTAAACATAATACGCAGTTCTTAGCGTGGTGTAATTTTCTGAAAGTCTTTAGAAAACTATACCAATTACCAGGTCTCACCACGCGGAGGTAACTACGCAAAGAGCATAGAACAATATGCCTTACTGACGCATTCCATATCAAAGGTAAGCTAGCTTAACTCGCAGCTCGAGGAACTAAAGCGAATCTACTGACACTTGTAAACTTTCGTGTCTCGTAAAAGGGAAGTCGATTCGGTATTCCAAGCTTTAATACTCCGCTGTCACGACGCTAAGGTATTTCATGTCAACAGACTCTAATATCTCCATTTCTTTCCAAGTTCCCATGAAAACTGGGAATCAAGAAAGACACGAAAAACACGAGCAAAGAGAAGCTAAGTAAAAATCTCGACGCGTTCAAAAGAGTTCGCAATTATTCGAAATTAGCCTGCTAGTCTACGCGACGTGCTCTCGTGCACTTGACAACTTCCTGCCTCGGTATCCTCGCGACCGGGTCTAGCCCAAGTCTAGCCACTGCCAACTTTGTCAAGGCTTACTCCTGAATCTAGGTAATCACCGAACCAACGAAACTTGCAGAATCAATACGAGGGTCCAGTGAAGCTTAGTAGTCAGATGAACACTCAGTACCCCTGTTACATAGGGTAGAAGCAAAAAGGAATCATCATCATCTAATGGTTTGACCGTAGACACGTCATGCTTGTCAGACTACAGGATCCATAGCTTGGTCGTTTACAGGATGGTCCACAAGACGATCAGGGCTGACAGATGCTCGCATTGATTGTGGAACAAACTCTGGCCCAAGGATGACCCTAGAACACAACGCATGACGAGATTGACAGTGGCTAGAAATAAATGTCAGAGACATGTCAGCGTGAGGATGACTTACGTTGGCACTTAAGAAAGATCCTGATTATTGCGAGGAAGATTGTGGTCGAATTTATATATTCCACTCCAAGTTAAATAGCATCCCTCAGTATGGAAGGAGTGCACAGTGGACTTAGGCTAGGGATCTAGCTCATAACTGTATACTTACAATTAGAACTAGACACACGAATCCCATAACGTCCAACGATGTCTTGTAATTGAAATCTAAAACAGAAAATCTAGATAATCCCGAGAGGAAAATAGACTAAACCTGGAAGAAAACGGATTAGACAGGGGAAATGGAATGAAAGTGAAAGGGGTGGGCAGAGCAAAGGTGAAGCAAATAGAAGAAACAAATCAACGATGAAATGTTGAAATAGAAATAGAAATGAAGAAACAAAACTAGGAAATAAAGTTTCATCAAAAATCTGTCGAGAAAAAATTGAGGGGGGTGGGATGGAGAATGGCCACCCCGACGAACAATCAACCCAACGATGAGACAAAAATAAACCAACGACGAAACATTCGAATTTTGAAAGAGAAGTGAAAATTAAAAAGAAAAATACGAAATAAAAAATTTTTATTAGAAATGTCCTGGTAAAAAATAATTGTTAAGTGAAATGAGGGGGGTGCGGTGTGGGTGGAGTGGACAATGGCTATAGACTATACAAAGGTGTAGCCAGTCACCACAGCCCCCTCCCAATCCCCCTACACTACCCCCCTCAGCCCCTCTATCAGCCACTTCGATAAAAAACCATATGTAATCTGTTCCAATTCAAATCGACAAATGACTCTATCACTGATCGCGCGGCCTTTATATACCCGGTGATCGACCAAAAATCGGCAAAAATTTCCAATCTTTCCCAAAATTTCTAAATAACTATTTTCTGTTATAATAATCGATAACTCGTGAATTTTGTTAATTTTTTTTATAGATTGATACTTTGAGCAATTAGTTAAAGACAATATTAGTTTGTTATTAACAATTTCAATTTGTTATTAACGATGAATTTAATAAAAATTGATTAATGAATTTTTGTAAAAGATATAAGGTACCAAAGTTATGGTAATATAGTATATAATATATAATATAGTATAGTTATAGTATATAATATAGTATACAAGTTATGGTAAATATAGTATACTAGAAAATTCCCATGATTCTTTTATATTGTTTAGTTATTAACTATGATGTATGTCAATGTAACATCATTATTCGTGCTTTTTATGGAAAGTTCACTTAATTTGTTGATAAGAAATCCAGCAAATATAAAGTGATAAATATCAACGTATTCTCATACATATATATTTGTGTTTTATTTTCAGGCGACGATATTTTTCTGAATAATTTTCTAAATAAATTCCGTAATTTTTCTCAATACCTTTCCATACTATTTATTTTATCTTTTCTATTCCCATATCGCAAAACATAGTGAACAAAATTGATAAAGGTTGATTTTAACATAAAAATATTGCGATATAAATTTCTGAACTCTCGTCACTTCTCACTGTTTAATGCCTACAGTGATGACTCTAGAATTCATTAACTTTCCATTTACGACACTGTGTCTACGATCTACGTATGCATTCGTAACTCGTGATTCATTTACACATCGTTCATTATCTCGGAATTGAATCACGAGGAACCCAGCTGCGTGTGCAATATTTTCTTTCCGGTTGCTGTAACATTTCCGGTAATAGAAGGTAAACGAACGTAGCGGAACGGCCATGTACCATCTCGTAACTTCCAATTCAAGGAACACGTGCAATCGTTGTCCCTTTTCCCCGGAGTAGAGTCCATTTTGGAAATTTTCTAAAAACAAAAAGGACTCGTGATTCATACGTGTATACCGAGCAATTTCGATCTTCTAGAAATTGCTCCACGATCAGTTCAACCGATCAGAGAGGAGAGTGTATTTCTATGAATTCGTTTTCTCTTCACCTTATTTCCTTCACCCTCTCGCTAGTACACTCACGTACGACCTGTTTTCAATGAAAGTCTCCCTGTGTCCTGACCCGTCGCACAGGCAACAGGTCTGCAGACTTACCCCTTGCCACGAGTTCGAGCTGATCTGGAAATGGACAATGGAAGTTAAGTTTACCTCGGTCGTGTTTAACATTAAATTACTATCGACCTATAGTGCTAGTTTAGTGCCAAAAAGCTTTTCATTAAGATCTGAGAGAACTTAAGTGACGAATAATAAAGAATTGATGTAAGAAATAAATACAAAAATTTAAATTTTGAACCTATTTTTAAAATAAGTTTCACCTATTTTAAACGAAAATATCGAAATTAGAAAAAATGTCACGTGATAATTAGGATAATTTTAAAATTAAATATTAAAAAAAAAAAATTTATTTTCGGGAGGAAACAAAAAAGAAAATGGAAGCCAAAACTGGAAATTTGTTATACAAAATTGTAGTCTTCAGTTATACGATAATGACTAGCGATAACTTCGTCTAGGGAACCCTAGGAAAGTCACCGAACGTCGTAGATTTCATTTTTCCTAGGGTCCATTTTTCCCCTAGTATTTCCGTGTTTCTGGTAACTCAGGACCACGAAATATCCGTATTTGTGTCTGTGTTGCTCTTAATATACATGTCCATGTAAAAGGTGAATAACGAACAACTAGGAAACATGTTTATCGGTTTTTTCGTCGAACGTACACGCGTTTGCCCTTTCGTGGAACAGGGACTCGCGTCATAGGGCATATTTCAGGTACGTCGAAAAAACGTAGCGCTATTCGACCCGCGATTTTTCCAGC